TAAAAAGTCAAGGTTTTTGATGAATGTCACTTTTGAAAACCAATTAACTGAGTTGAAAGGAAGACACCATTTCCCATTGTCTAATTGCTTTGCATCACCTTACAGCTAATAAATTTGTCACGTTGAATTATTAATGAGAAAACGAATATTTGACTTGCTGCTTTGAATAGAAAATAGTTCATTATCAGTTGGCATTGTTCCATCTGAATAATGAGCCTGGCATTATGGGAGTTGCATAAAGGTGAATTAAAGTTGCTTTTTTATTTCTTGTCATTGTCATTTGGTACTTAGAAATTTTTTTTAATTAAAATTGGGTATGGTCGCAATTTGCAGCTGTTCATCGGAGTTCCTAAGGGTTGTTAAGCAGCTATAAGTTGCTATTTTCAATAGCTTACTGATTACGGCTATTTACACTGCAACTTAAACATTTAATAACTATTATGAAAATTAGCCCACCTCTTTGCTTTGGACATATTTACTCAATTCAAAAGTCTTTTTTTCTGATGGAGTTGTTTTTGGACACTGATCACGGTGTTTGGCTAAGCACCAGAGTAATCAGCAGGTGAAGGGTTCAATGCATGAGAAAATTCAACCTATCAGTTGTGCGACCCTCTTGTAAACCCATGTTTATTTTTGGGGAATTAACTAAAATGTTGCAAATCATATCGGCAATAATTGAAGAAATTTCAAATATTTTTATTCATCTGCTCTCTTTATGTTGCACACTGTGTGCATGAGACAGTTGGTGTATTTACTAAATATTGAATTTTAGTGAATTGAAAATCAAATTGTAAAACTGAGCAGAAAAAATTGCTGATTTGGAAATATCCAAATACCCTATAATCACGGTATGGCTATTTTAGCTGAGCTATGCCATTTGGTTTTCAATTCATTATAATTTAAGTAGTGGGAAAAAAACAAACAAACCTCTAGCATGGTTGTTTACTAAAGTTAGAATTCTCATGAATTCAAAGTGAATTTCAAATTTAAAGGGACACTACAGACACCAGCTTTAGCTCAATTAAGCAGTTTTGGTATAAAGAATATGCCTCTGCAATCTCTCTGCTAAATTCTCTGCCATTTAGGTGTTGAATCAGTTTGTTTATGCAGCGCTAGTCACACCTCCCTGCATGTGACTTGCACAGCTTTCCTAAACACTTCCTGTAAAGAGCCATTTAATTGCTTTATTGCTAATTTTGTCCAATTTCTTATCTCCTGCACTGTTAAATTGTCTGCAGGGGCTTCCTGTATGTGATTAAAGTTCAATTGACAGTGCAAGAGATACAAACTTCTAAAGTAAGTTAATATTTGATTGAAAATGAAATGTTTTTTTTTCATGTGTCTGTCAGAGACAGGGGAGGTGTGACTAGGACTGCATGGGCAGAAACAAAAATGATTTAAAGGGACACTCCAGGCACTCAGACTACTTCTGTAAAGTGTTTTAAACTACGCTGCAAGTCCTCACGCTATGCATAAGGGCCTCCAGCGACGCTGGAATCCCCATAGGAAAGCATTATTCAATAATGCTTTCCTATGGGAAGGTCTAATGCACGCACATGGCCATTGCTGCGCATGCGCATTAGGTCTCCCCCACCAGCTGATGTCGGCGGGGGAGGAGGATGGGCAGAGCCTGACCCAGAGCCGAGGGACATCGACGCTGGATTCAGGTAAGTCACTGAAGGGGTTTTAACCTGTTTTAACCCATTCAGCAACATGGGATGGTGGGTTGGAGGGAGAGGATATGTTTTCCTGGCACTGCAGAGTCCCTTTAACTCCTAAATATCAAAGAAATGAGTGGTAAGACTGCAGGAGATAATCTATACATTAAAACAGATTCATTAAGCTAAAGTCATTTTGAAGTCTATAGTATTCCTTTAAGGTGAAAATAGTTGAATTAGAAAAATAATTCAAGCCGCCTCTGCTTCGACCAGGGGCATTATTATGAATAACAGATCTCCGGTGCAAGAATCAAATCAGGGTCCCACTTACACTCAAAATGATGCACATACATTGGCATACCCTTGCTAATACTCATTGACAGACATACAGTCTCTTGCAAAAATATCCCTAAATGGTAACTCCACTAAATGATATGTCATTGTGAACTTGATACTTGGAGAACACATGTTGAAAAAAGCATATAATTCTTCAAGGGACTCCAATGTGCCACTCCGCATCACCAGTACATCATCATTATAGCACCACCATCTGGTGGCAAATTGTTTAAACAAAGTATGAGGATAAATCAATTTTTCTTCTAACTCTGACAGGAATATACTGGCGTATGTGGGTGTCACATTGGAGCCCGTAGAAGTACTCTTCAATTGAAGGAATAACTGATCTTGACTGAGAAAATAATCTTTCATAACCATCTCCAAAGGTTCCATCAAAAAGTGCAAAACATCATGCTTAAATCATAAAGTCAGCTGATCTCACTGCTGCATTGTGCTCAATAGATGTGTACAAAATAGTAACATCAAAGGTGACAAGGATCAAGGTGTCAGTCACCTCAACATCCTCCAGTTTCAATAACACTTCAGTGATATCTCTTACATAAGATTTAATCTTTGTTAGAAAAGGTCTCAAGATATTATCCAAAAATGTAGCCAATTAGGAAAGAAGGGACCCAGCCCCTGCTACAATCGGCCTACCTGGAAGTCTAACCAGTGATTTGTGGATATTGGGGAGAGTGTACAGAGGTCGTATAACAGACGTGGTCTCTGATAAAAACTTAAATAAATCCTTATCTATAATTTGATTATTAAAAGCCTGAGTTAATAGAATCTCAATTTTAGATTGTAGGGCTAAGGTAGAGTCACCTGTTAAACATTTGTAAGTCTCATTATCCCCTAGTTGTCTAAGGATTTCATCAACATAATCCACCATATTCTGTACCACTATGGTGCCACCCTTATCTGCTTTGATTGGTTAAATCTTTACTTTTACTCAATCCATCAAGGGCAATTTTTTCTTTCTTAGAGAGATAAGGGTGGTGACTGCGGTCAGACTTGGATATAACCTCAACAGCATGGTCTACAGAAGGAGGATTAAACGTGCTCTTATTTTTAAACTTAGTATCACTTAGCTTAATGTCTGCATCCCTGTGTGTTACAGTGGGTAGGGGCACCTGAACTTTATCAAAAAAAGGTTTTCAGTTTAAGGGTGCGAAATAAACTGGTTAACTCTAGGTAAACCTCCACATGTGTAGGAGTATAAAGAGGACAAAAAGTCAGACCTTTTGAGAGAAGTCAGACCTTTTGTTAACATTATAGCTGAGATGTTAAAAACTGTAATTTCTTTCTCTTTTGTCCCAGTTTCTTGTTCCAAATCGCTGGTAATGTAATATATGTCTTTCTTATATACATAGACTATGATTAACTCAATTTATTTTTATATTTATACTTTCAATTGTCCATTCGAGCATTCCTCTTTTCTTATATCATATTGAAGTCCAACTTTATTTTATTAATGTAAGGATTTTTTTTTTATGTGTATTTTTTTTATTATGTATATTTTTGTGATTTTTTTTTGATTATGTATTTATTTTGTAATTTCATTATGTAGAAGTTTTTTGACTTTTCTCTGTGTGTCCTGGTGGGAGATTGACATGATATCTTTTTCTTTCTTTCATTCATTTTTCTTTTTCTTTTTTATATATTTTTATATTTTTATTTTTTGATCATTTTTATTTATGTTTATATTTACTTATTTTTATTTATTTAAATTTTATTTTAATTTATAGTTATTTTCATTACTTATTTTTATTATATATATTTATATTTATTTATATTTATTTTTATTTTTTTTAATTTTTTTTATCTTCTCTTTATTTAGTTTTTATATATATTTTTATTTTTTTCCCTTCCTGCTACCCTTTAGTACAGTGATGGCGAACCTTTTTGAGCCCGAGTGCCCAAACCATAATACATGTCAACTTTTTTTTCCTCAAAGTGCCAACACGGCAATTAAACCTGAATATTGAGATTTAAATACAGAAAAAACAACTCTTACGGTTTTCCGAACTAGTTAACATCTTTTGTTTTAAAAGACACAACAGAGAGTTAAATTATACAAATTTTAAATAATGATATTAATAGATAAAATTAAGCATATATGTATTAGTATCTCCAACAAATGCAATGCATACACACAGCTGAACAAATTCACAGACACAGACTGCTAAATACACACACAGTCCCTTAAATACAAACACACACACAAACATACACACAGTCCGCTGAATACATACACACAGTCAGCTGAATACACACGCAGTCAGCTGAAAACACACACACTGCTGAATACACACACATATACTGCATTGAGGGGTGTAGTGTATGTGTTTGTGTGTGAGGGGTGCTGTGTGTGAGAGGGGGTAGCAGTGCTGTGAGGGGTGAGGGGGTAGCAGTGCTGTGAGGGGTGGTAGGGGTGCTGTGTGGGGCGTAGGGGTGCAGTGTAGGGGTGTTCTGTTGGGGGGGTAGGGGTGCTCTGTTGGGGGTAGTAGTGTTCAGTTGGGGGGGTAGGGGTACTGTGTTGGGGGTGTAGGGGTGTTCTGTTGGGGGGGTTTAAGATACATTAAAAACATTTAAAAAAAAAAAAAGCATCTGACCTTACGCGGCAACACTCCACACAGCTCGCGGGAGGACAGGAGAGCTGTTTCCTAGATTTCTCCCCCCTGCTTCCGGTCCTGCCGACAAGGAAGCAGAGTAGGCACCTGCTGTTTAGGGAAGGCAGGTGCCTACTCTGCAGTGATGCCAAAGGTTCGCGTGCCAAAGGTTCGCCATCACTTAGTAGGTTTGCCCCCTTCCTTTTTTTCCATTACAGTTTTTTTTCCCTTTCAGCCATACGCATGTGCAGCTAGATCCCAGTTTGGCATACCGCCATGGGACGCATGCGCTATACGAACGGTGGTTCGTGCCTTATGTTTGTGCGCACTCTCGCATGAGCATACCACCATGGGACGCATGAGCTATACGAACGTGCCTTATGTTCATGCGCACATGCACATGAACATGAGAACGATTAGTGTCGTTCTGGGATATTACTGTACGAACTGGAGATAAATTTTTCATGTCTGACCCTCCTCCTATTAGATTGCGCCTGCACCGGCTGATTGGTGGTGATGTGGGCTTATCCAATGTCCATCCTTTCTTGCCGTTCATTTGATCGGAAGTGGTTCCTTGGTGCTTCTGTAAATGTTTTGTTAATTCTTTTTTATCTTTTACTTTTTCTTGTCTCTCCTTCCTTGGACACACTTAGGTAAACTACTAAAAGATTACTGTTTTTATGTATATTTTATGCATATTTCCATGATTTGTGTTTATTATTTATGTAAATGAGATATGCGTAAGTTGATTATTGGTTGATTACTTTGCACTGTTTTGTTTTATTTATATATATATATATATATATATATATATATATATATATATATATATATATATATATATATATACACACATATATACACACATATATATATATATATACATACACTTATTCTTGCCCTATGGTGTTAGCTTGACAAAGACCTCTTAGTAGGTCGAAACGTTGATGCTCCTTTTGTTCTAAAAAAACTGCCTACGGCTTTAACACCTTGAGTGTCAGGAGAATTTCTTGTGCAGACATACAGTCACACTGTTTAACCAACACACACTTTCACTGACAGATACCACAATTCATCCAATCTGCTGGACAAATCGCACGATAGTCATATCAGCTTCTGCCAACTTCTCTCCAGTGCTTTGACGTTAAGCAAAGTGAGCCAAGCAAGATGCAAAATTTTGGACTAAAACTAATTCCCTAAATAGAGCGTGACAATGAGCCAAATCATGTTTGATCACAGGAATCAGATCTATAGTGCGCTGATGATGGATGAGAAATAGAATTGAGCCTGAAGCAATGCGACTCAATGTAACAAACTACGGATAAACCCGAACCTACCTGAAGCTATACAAACCTCTCCATGTAATCCTCATCGTAACATAGGAGATCCCCAGATTGTGACATACGTCACCTCCCCTGAGCTGCCATTAGATGAAAGAGTGCCTCAACATCCATGCAAAGTATGGTTGAAAACCTAAAACATACTAGTTCAACTAAATGAGGATAAATGTCAAGCCGATAACTATATGATTCTCAATGACTTAATCACTGCAAGACGTCTGGTGTACACCCAAGTAAGCCCACCTGCATGACTGCCGCTATTTTAAAGGAGTGAGTGGGATAATGGAAGAGAGAAAAAACCAACCAACCAAGGATGATTGAAACATTTTGCTAAACTGATGCATCATCAGAGGGGATAGTCAGCATGGATTAACAATGATCCCAAACTGCCCGAGCTTCCAGAAACTGCTGCAGCAGTTGCAAAGGACAGTAGGTCTTCCCTGAAGCACAGATCCGGACCAGAGAACCCTCACCCAACAAATCTGTCTTGGACCATGTAACCCAAATAACATTCGCATCTTTTGATGACTTAAACAATCGACCAAGGCGAGAACAGAAATTTGCATTTGGCGCCACCACTTCTCCATTATAAAATGCACCACAACATCAAATAGAAAAAGCTACCCTAAACAGTAACACCACATAGGTAGTGAACCTCCTAAAGACCCCTCAAAGTCAAGGTCATAATTTGTATTTGATATGAAGCAGACATATGATATGCATTGTGAGTATATACATAAACACTATCACTTTATTTAGTTATGACTCAGTATATTTTAAATTATTTTCTATCACATTAATGTTGCGTGACATAACAGATTCCTTAAATACACATTAGTTCATTTAGCATTAGCACTATTTAATTTGTCTCTCACATTAAATTTAGTGTAGCACACACCAATATTGAGGTACTATGGCCTGACAATTGGCTATAAGGTGGAATCCATATTTGTTTGCAGAGATAGGTGATTTTAAGTAGCCTCGTAAAACAAAATGAAAAATGTGTGTGTCTGCTGTTTCCTAATCTGTGTTTAGTATAAATTTTGGTCTTTACGGCATTACCACTGCTGAGAATGCATGTTCCGGTTGTGACCCCAATTGCCCTTTTCTTCATGGAAAAATAAGTTATAGAAAGAAAAAATTGAAAGGAACAACTTAACAAGTGAGAAAACGTAGGATGAACCAGGCGCAACTGAGAGGCAGACTCGATATCAAAGTTTGCCAACAACGCACCCTGACCCACAACCGCACCTGCTCTAGCTCACAGACAAAGGAGGTGTAACAAACCTGACTGCCTCCTGAGGAAATATCATCATTAACAGACCCTCCAGAGAGGTAAGACAAATGATGTATCAACAGATAAATACCTGGGTAATTTTTAGGCACCTGATCTAACGGCAAAACCCGCAAATTGCCAAAAGGTGGCCTATCATCAACTACCCCTTCTTTGCCAAATTGCCATCCAGGATTTCCTCTCTGCCCAGAACTGATTTCAAGTTCTGCGAAAGCACTGGAAGATCTAACTGAACAAACAGAATCAAAGGCCAACTGAGGAACCACCCCACAACTGTTCTGCCTCTTTAATGCAGATGACTCCTCAGAACCCTCAGGCCTTATCAATTTGAACTAACCTCCTTCAGATCTAGCAAGGGTTGTAGTGGGAAAATCAGGATGATGCTCTTAAAATACTCTGAGCAAGCTGACGAACTCTCCTGATCCCACCCCTGCAAAGCGTGCCCTGACTGCCCTAAAGCATCCCATGCACTGGCTCAATATTCACTGGCCTGGACCATGGATTGTAGGGGAAAAAAGCAGAAGCATCCTCCTCCATATGACTCTTCTTCCTCAGACCTCCACTGGATTTACACATCCTACGCAGCCTGGGCGACTCTGGGGGATGTCGACACTCCCTATGGAGCACTGTTGGCACTGAGCATCTGTCTTCTGATGCCAGCATGCAAGCTGTGGCCCCTGGCACTTAAACTCCTACTTCCTGGCTGTTGGGAAAATAAATCCAGAGCATGTGACAATGCTATGCTCTGGCACTCTGAAGCCACACACTCTCCCCATCGCTCACATGAGAAATGAGAGATACAACACGCAGTTGTTGCCTGTTGGACATAACTTTCAATTGCACCAGATGTAAATGCTGAGGACTATGAGTTCAGAGCCAGACACTGCTGCAATCTTGCTGCCACCTTGCCGGGCTCACCAAACCCTGCTGCACCACCTGAGAACGTGAACTTCTGACTCCCAGCTCCAACTGGTGCTCCTAGACTGCCTGACCAGACAGGGGGACAAGAGCAAAGGTGGCCATCATCCTGAAACTAAGTGTTTGTGACTGACCCCTATGCTCCAATGCCAATCCAATGACTCAGCAATGACCTTCTGCAAGGAAAGGTCTCAATGGGAATACTGATTAGAATGCATCAACATCAGCAAGGCCTCATTGGACACTGGATTCTCCATAACCCATCCAGCAAACATACACAGTAACAGTCCTTGCTCCTCTTTGTATATCCTGTGTATATCCTTTTTGTGTGTGTTTAGGGGCTGATCCACTACCACTCCAGTCAGACTCCAAGCACTGTAACCTCTTATGATTGTTACATATACAGTAGTGCACTCAACTCCCTATTCTCGCTTCCCTTTATCCTACTGATTATAACTGCAGTTGTTAGCAGGAATATCTGCAGGTGAAAACCCTCTCTCAAATAGGAAGTCTTACTTCCTCCAGAACAATTAACAAACTTTTACACTGTGTTTACTTATGGCACTGTCTTTTGGTACTATTCCTACCATCTATGGATTCTAACAAATGCCTTAAACAATATCTGTGATATATAGCTGCTCAGTATTAAGGACCAGGAAATGAGAATAAAACTAGAGCAACTACAGCAATAGTGTGAGTTTTTCCAGTACACTCCCAAAGCAAGCATATGAGTGGAGTGTTCAATATTTAATTACAGAATGTATTCACACTCACTCCTTGCTATAATATGGTCTGTCTAGGCTCAATGCCCCAAAATGGAAAAAGATACACTAATCAGCATAGATGCAGAGTACTCATGATGACACTTTTCCACATCAGTGAAGACATAAGCATCAAAACTGGATTAATCACATTTTCTTTTAGATCAGGTGGATGGCTGGGTGCATGTGCGTTGTTTACCTGGGAAAAGATGGAAAAGAAGGGAAGAGGCAGTATTATACTCTTGGGTCCTGGCATTCATCTGAATGTTACTTTGACACATGCCATCTACCTAGAGATTGTTGCAGACCATGTTCACTGTTTCATGGCAATAGTGTACATTGATTGCAGTAGCGTCTTTTAGAAGGATATTGCACCCTGCCACACTGCAAACATTGTTCAGGAATGGTTTGAAGAACATGATAGAGACAGAGACAAAAAAAAATCCTTTTTATGAAAAATGACTTTGCATATCTCTGTCTCAAGTACTTTTATAAAAAGTATGGGTTGGATTGTTCTTGTTATAGCTAATAGTATGTTATGTATACAATACATAATAGAGGTCAAAGTTGGCCTCCAAAGTCCCCAGATCTCAATCTGGATGGGCATCTGTGGGATGTGCTGGAACAATGCTATGTATACAATATATAATGGTTAGTAAGTTGGCTTCCAGAGTCCCCAGATCTCAATCTGGATGAGCATCTGTGGGAAGTGCTTGAACAACCAATCTGATCCATGGAACAACCAATCTGATACTCTCAACTTGCAGGACTTAAAGGGTCTGCAGTTAATATTTTGGTGCCAGATACCAAAGGACACATTCACAGGTGCCTCGACCAGGCTCAAATGTGAAATGGATGTTTGATTAGATTTTCTTACTTATTAAACAAATATATGGCCAATTTACCCTCAATCGCTCCTATAAATTGGCAATCGGCCTCTTTATTTCACCATATCTCATTTGGGTGCAAGGATACATGGAAAATATAAAGGAAATTAGAATTATTAAATGGTAAAAAATAAAACATACAATAAAAATGATAGTTAATTTTAAATATAGTCTTACAATTATACATTTTCCTATTTAATAATACGGACATTTCATGTATTTAACATTTAAAAAGATTAATAGATTGCTATACTATTGTTAAGGGCGTATTAGCTTACAAATGTTATAGAAACATAGCACCAAGACGATCCTCATTAAAGTTTCTATAATTTAACAGAATTTCACATGAAATCACA